TATAATATGTTCAAATAGGCAAGTTCTAATTGTTCCTGACGATTATTTCACAGCAAAGTAGCTCCAGTTACCTGGTTAAACAGGTTGGTTACTCCTTTAATTCCTACCCATATTCAGAAAGAGGAGTTTTCTTGACCTCTGACACTGAGATAATTAACCCTACACTGACTTGGCCCAGTAATACAGCCAATATGGTGGTCATCTGCCGACTCAGTCCCTCCTTGAGTCTCTTACATTCTGGTTGCCCTGTTAAACCTGTGTTATCCAAAATCTCCAATGTTCTCCTATTTCCTTTACCACTGCCTTTAACCACGTCTATCCTTTTTCCCCGAGTTGAGGGAAATTTCTGTCTCCTGCTCTCCCCTTTATCCTCTGAGACTATTATCATTCCTTCCTCTCACTGTCAGACAAGCATCTAATAATCATGGCTGCCCCTAACCACTGTTCCATCCCTCCTTGCTCTCTACAATATGGTTTCTACCCCCACCATTCCAGTGAACCTTCTGTCTCAAATGTTTACAGAGACCTGCATGTTGCCAACACTAATTGCAATTCTCCAGTCCCTGTTGTCAGTCTCCAGTCACATGCTCTGGTCACAAAGTCCCCATTTCGGTCCATGGAGTCTCCAGTGTTCACTTCCTTAACTCCTGTTTACAGGAGTTAAACCTTTAATGGGTCTCATATCCTTCCGTTTTCACCCCCATAGACACCGCCTTCCTCCTGGCTCTCGTTTCTCCCCATAGGGATCTGTCCGCTGGCCTCCTAGTCACCCTATCCCTGGACTCTCCTGACTAATCTGCCCTGCCCTCTATACACAGTGAAACCGTTGTTACCACAGCACTATATTACCTTGTCATTCCTTTGTTGTACACTTTTGGTGCCCTTTGCCATCTATGGGATAAGTTCAGACTCTTGAGGCTGCCTTTCCACATCTTTCGTAAGGTTTCCCCACCCTGTTTGGCTGGCACTGCTCCCAGTCTCCTCCTGCCAACTCGGTCCCTTTATTGCTCCCCAGATACGTTTGGTCTCACCCGCACGCCTTTGTGTGTGGCGTTGGCACTTTGTGGAAACCCCTCCTTCCCCAAGTCCTTCTACACATCTTCCAAAGCATATCTTTCTCCCACGAAGTGTCCTGCAACCCTTCCAACTAACTCATACCAAGCCCTTGCTCTGCTGAACATTCCCCCACACAAACAACCCACTTTGACATTACCTTGCACACACACTGTTGGGCATCACTCCCCATTCTATACTTCTATCTGCTGAACATAACTAACTCCCTGGGACTTGGCTGGGACTATGGTATAAACTGCCTTCAAGAAGCCTAACATGTTTTTGTGTTGGCCTTTTGGCTAAGATCAAGTGTGTGTGTTGCTTATAGGCCTCTCGTAAGTGCTTTCAAAGGAAATATGGTAGTGGTTTTCTCCAAAGCATGAGAATGACCAGTTTTGGCATCTTCTTTCCTTCCAGTCAAGTACCATCACGTGGGCAAACTGCTGAAGGACGGGGAGGAGCCCACCGTGTACTCAGACGAGGAGGAGCCAAAAGATGAGAGCACTCGGAAGAATGATTAAGGCCTTCAGCGGAAGCATATCTATTTTTGTATTTTGCAGAATCATTTGTAACATTCCAGTCTGTCTTTAAAACATGGTGATTTCAATATTTAGAAAAGTTTTGAACTTGCTGTACATTTTTTTAATTAACATCACTAGTGACACTGATAAAGCTAACTCTGTCTTAGAATGCATGATATGTTTGTGTGTCACAAATCCAGAAAGTGAACCGCAGTGCTGTAAGACAAATGTTATTACTGTTTCTCTTCTATCTGTAGTCAGTGCAGGCTGAATTGGAACTTGTGTTTCCTGAGAGACAGGTAAGACATGGGTATTCCCCCCAAACAGGTTTAAACGTTAAATGTGTGAAGTCCTTCAGGCGTCAAGGAACACAGAATGGACTTTGAGTCATGATATTCTCTAAAGATAGAAAATCCTTTATTTCTCAGTTGACCTAACTGCATGATTTCTGTTTTCTCTACCTCTAAAGCAAATATGCAGTGTTCCAAAGGCTTTGGTATTGATTAAAGAGAGCAGTCCAGTACAAAATGAAATCGCAAAGCTGGACTCAATCACAGGTAACCTACTTTCTCTGTTTGGGGACAGCATCATTGTCCTGTGCTCTTTGGAACACTCAGATGCCCTCACTTAACAATAATCTCCAATGAGGCTGAAAATAGGATCTCAACATTCCAAAGCAAGCTTTGACGAAAATCAGCTGGCTTGCCTAAAAAATGAAAATACATGAATAAGATTGTAGGACTATTTTCCCCATCCCTGTGTTCTTGGTTATTTCACATGATTGGACATGCGAGGGGGCTGTGTAGGACAGGAGCAGATTGCTCTCTAAGAGCCTTCACACACACCCCTGAGGAGTGAGGAAATCGTACACATTACTGGCCAAGTGGTTTTTCAAGTGTATTCATAACCTAACAGTTATTCCTCTGTTGTTACAAAACTATAGCCACTGCAAGAGTTGTAGTCAAGTGTCTTGGTCTTTGATATTGGTCTTGGTTAACAATAAACTTAGCTTAAGTAGACTGTACAGTTGTATGAATTTGTAAAAGTATTATATGAATAACTAGTGAGGTTTCAAACTCTTGTAATTGTAGTTGAATAGTCATTGTATTTTCTTGTGAACTGTGTTTAATGGTTTTACCTCAAATCAGAAAACAAAATGAAGTGCTTTGGTCAGTTAATAAAATGGTTTTACCCAGTATAGTTTGGTGGATTGCCTTATTTCTTTTAAACCTTAATCTGAGGAAGCAGACTCAAGAGTTTCAGTTCTGAGTGACATTTTTTGTCTTCCAAAAGAGACAGGAAAGGGGTACAACTTCATAGAGGCTGCACACCAAAAACCAAGTACCAGCTTATCCTGTTAAAATAATGAATCAAATTTACTTTTTTAAGTCAGAATTTAATAGCAAGTTTACTTGAATTCTATAGCAAGTTTACTAAGGAGTAACTCTGGTGTTCATTGGAGGGACTGATGCTGAAGCTCAAACTCCAATACTTTGGCCACCTCGTGCGAAGAGTTGACTCGTTGGAAAAGACCATGATGCTGGGAGGGATTGGGGGCAGGAGGAGAAGGGGATGACAGAGGATGAGATGGTTGGATGGCATCACCGACTCGATGGGCATGAGTTTGAGTGAACTCTGGGAGTTTGTGATGGACAGGGAGGCCTGGCGTGCAGAGTTAGACATGACTGAGCGACTGAACTAACTCACTCACTCTAGTGAAGACTTACTGAGTGCCAAGGCAGGTTTTGTTTTTACTTTAAGTATCATCGGATTAGGAAAGTGTTCAGGAACCTTATGGTAGCAAAGTTGATTCACTTCATGCCAAAAGAAGATATGAGACCTACATATGCAGTCGGTTGTATAAACAGACAACCTATTACTCTGAAGATTAGTGTTTTTGCCATTTTCTTGTGAAAATTCAGACTCTTCTTACAAGGGAGGTACTCCCTGAACCAGAGAGGGCTCAAAGCTTTCCAGTTTTTATGTTCTCAAACCATATTGACTGTTTTTGTTGTTTTAAAATGTGTCCTTTTCCTGCATTAGTTTTCATCCAACAAATATTTGAGCTGCCTATTTTGTGCCAAGCAACCTGTTAGGCCGTATGCTTTGGGGGAAGGGGAGGGAGAGAGAAACTGGGCCACCTTTGCAGCTTGAGATTAGGCTACTCCTTTTACTCAAACAGGTTTGTCTGATGCCAAGAGGAAAACACCCAGAGCCTGGTTAAAAGCTTCAACCCCAGATAGCCGGCTTCCCCCCATTCAGAACTAAACATTGTATTGATTACAGGTAAAGGGATATTACTATCAGGCAGGACTTTCCTATAGAAACTTAAATCCAGCTCACAGTTGTAAGCCGTATTATGTAAAAGGCACCGTTTGAGAAGATGGGGGAGTGGTGGTTACAGCCACGGCACCAGCCATGCCAACCAGGGAGGGGGCCAGGTGAACAGCTGTTTCCTCCTCCCCTGCTTTCTTCCAGCCCCTGCCTAGACACCATGTTCTCAGTCCCAACATCTGAGGGTCAGAAGCAGCATTTGCTATGTGCTTGCAGCATCTCTATGGCTTCTCTACACAATATCATGTTCACCTTACCTCAGAGGGCCACACTTCATGCAAACCCTCAATCCAGAATGAGCAAAAACAGCCTTTGCTGTCTCAGAAAGAGCTCTTTGAACAAAAAGAAGCTCTTAAGTGCCCAGTTGCCCTCTAAGGTACAGTCCGCCTTTGTTACAGATATTTAGAAGAAATTTGCTGAACATTTCGTGTGAAAATACAGTTAACTCTTTCAGGATCAAAGACTGATCACTGAAGCCCCTCACATCTATGACTGGACTCCCCATCCCACACCCACACGTTTTTGGAAATGGGGTAACTTCTACACTTTCACCAAGGCCTGAAGTGTGTGTGTGTGTGTGTGTGTGTGTGCGCATGCTCAGTTGTATCCAACCCTGCAACCCCATGGACTAGAGCCCACCAGGCTCCTCTGTCCATGGAATTTTCCTGGCAAGAATACTGGAGTGGGTTGCCATTTCTTCCTCCAGGGGATCTTCCCAACCCAGGGCTCGAACCTACGTCTCCTGCATTGGCAAATGGATTCCTTAGCACTGCACCACCTGCGAAGCCCTAAGGGCTGAGGTGAAATTCTGTGGAATCTGTTTTGCTACCTATAAAGAACTGATAAAACCTTTGCTGAAGGGAGACTAGTCTTAAGTCAAAATATCATGATTTTCATTTATCCAAAATGAAAATACAACTGCATTTTTATGAGCTCTGACAGTCAATTGCCATTAACTGGCATTATAAAGGGAGAAGTCGCCTCAAAACAGTAGTGAAACCAGACATATTTTCAAAGAAAATATTACTGCAGGTGTGTGATATTCTATCCAGCACATGTGGTCAATGAACAAAGACTCTATACTATGACAACTTTATTTTTAATATATCTGAAAATCAAACATGTATTATTTCTCTACCAATGCAAATGACAAAAAGGAGCAGCAATGTTAGTGCAAAGCAGCATACTACAGGTAGAAATCTCACCCCCACCCCCACAAAGTGGAATTATCAACATTTAAAAGTGAACATTTTGAACAGTCTTTCAACAAATGAAAATACATTTATTTGGTTCTTAAGTTCAAAATTACCAGGTTACAATGGCTTTCTACCTGAGGAATTCAAACAAATGTAACAAAAACACATTAACAGACTTTTAGCTAATTCTTAAAGCACTATTAGTAACGCATACAAGGAAAAACATGAAAACACCTATTTAAAAAGACACAGATTAAAGTTCCGGCCCTTCATTGGACATAGGAAAAAGATATGAGAAAACTGTTGCACCACTTAAATAACAGCACAACAAAGAATAACAGTGTTAATTAACAGAAAGTGAGTATCACGTTTTCAGTTCTAAATCATTCCATCCATTTGAAATGTTCAGGAGAAATTGTTCTCATCCTTGTTTAAGGCCTACACACACCAAAAAAAGAGATTTACTCAAATCTAGAATGCATTACCACAAGACATAAAAACCCAAAGTTGTATAGAAAGTAAACACAAAACCAGTATTTTTACTTTCTCCTAGGTCCCAGGATGGTATTTAGACCAAAATATTACATAGAAGTGACTTAGCACCAATTCTATTATACAAAAATTTTCTTTAATTGCACATGCTGTATTTTGCAATGTATTTTTTTATGTCTGGTTACTGAGCAGCAAATTGTTTTCATGCCTAAAATCTCTGCAAAGAAAAATTATCAAATGACAGAAGAGATTGAGTTGTTTTTTCTTTCTTTTTTCCAAAACAAGCATAGCTGCTTTCCATTACAAACCCATAATGTTCTTTGTTTCAAGGGCATGAAACATGAAAAAAATAGGGAGGTTGGGTCTCACTGGAAAAGAATAATACCTGCTTGCTTCAGGTTGTCTGACAAAATACAAGCTGTTATAATTTAAAGGCTACTCCAGACAATAGTACTCTGAACATTAATAGTCATTGCTAGTCCTTAGAGGAGAAAAGGCACTCGCCCTGGAAGTGATTTTTCAGATTGGACAAGCCAAGCCTAGTTGATGGCTTGTGTGACTCTGATGGCAGAGTCACTGGCTTGCAAGTAGAATTGAATACAAGAGAACCAACAAATAAATGAATGATTTGAAGATTTTCTAGGCGTTTCAGATATCAGGTTGCTCAAGAGTCTAATTACAAGCACACATCGTGCCTTATCATTCTGGGCAGCCACACTGACTGGTGTCCTACTTTGGCTTGACCAGCTGGTCCTTTTCTATGGACTATCAAGTTAGGACTGTTTGAAATGAATCATGTAATATGAAAATGTTGCCTTCCACTACTATGTGGATTAAAACACATTTTCCTGCTGCAGGCAGTCTAATCTCATTGAGGTCTTCAATTGCCATGTCAGCTATAGTTTTGTTGGAAGAAAAAAAGTCATCTATTGCCCCCACCCCCCTGAGTTCCTAAATCCAATATAAGGCAGAATGAGTCAGCCGAGCTTTCGATAGAACATGCACTGCATTAAGATGTATGTCTTTACGAATCTATAAAATATCTCAATTTAAAAACATATTCAAAGAGTCCAAAACCAGTAGGTAAAAAGATAAATTGCTTAAGAGTTTACAAATTCTGCACACATACAATTTTCCCCCTGTTAGAAAAGTATGGGCTTTACCCTTGACTCTTCCTAACTCCATGGCATTATTGAGGATTGAGGAGGCACTTGTTACTGTTTTATAAAAGTCAGTTTGGGGATATTCAGTGACTTTTTACAAACTGATGTCACCCAACCCTGAGTGAAAGGATTACATAACCTGAAATGGAATACTCTCACGTCCTCTCTTCCCAAGTGCCATTTTTGGTGCCCCAGGATCATTCAATATTTCCTTTGGCAAATCCCAAGTTGTATCACTTCAATCCTGTTGCTTTTCTATGATGGAATGACATGGGTTTCTTCCAAAAAAAACAACTCTGCTAATGGTCCACTCTCTGTGTCAGCCTCAAAAGACAATCTGAGCCCCTTTTAGATTCTTCTTCCAAGGCTTTGTTTCTAAAAGGACAACTCTTTGAGTTCTATGAACATATTAATAAGATTAATTTCCTTCTGGTGGATGCTCAGGGAACCCTCTAATGTCATGAATAAGTCCAGTGTATGTTCTAGGTGTCATCTCTCTTCTTTCATCTATAGGTATTTCTAGATAAAAGTCAGGAAAGTTTGTTGCTGCACATGGTGTTCCAACCAAATCAAAGAACAAGTAGAAAGATCCTTATGCATTCACTGCCATCCCTTTGAAGATAAATGATGTTAAATGATAATGTTACGACAGCTGAAGAGCCATAGAGGGCTATCTTAACTCCTTTCAATGTTAATTTGCTCCTTTGGTGGCACCAAATTAAAGCTGCAATCGAACTGTAGAAATGTCTGTCCTGGGATAAGAAAGTTTTGCAAGCACATTGTTTTACCAAGTTTTCAAATTGGGATTTTGGTGTTTCCAGTTTGCCAACACATCTGCCACACACACACACACACACACACACACACTTTGATCTATGCTTTATACTTTGGCAAGAGAAGCAAGGTTTTGCATTTGACCTTGCTCAAGCTCCTAAGTGTTTGCTCTCTTGCTCTGTAGTTGCTAACTACATAGCTACATTTGGTTTTAAATTTTCTTCTTGCAGATTTTTACCATGAATGAGGGTTTCCTGATCTAAGAAACCTTCAAAACATTTGAAAATAAAAAGAACTGGTGAAGTTGTTTCTTAAATATCTTCTGTAGTCAATGCGCTCCAGACTGTTATGTCTAATGTAGTTACTACCAGAATTCAGCATGAAATCTCCAGAATACTCACGTCTTTTCATCTTTCCTGCATCCCAGTTATATTCTGACCTCCGTGGTATCTCTCTTCTTTTGGGAAAACCCCACAAATAGGAAGCATTTGTACTTTTTGATGATGTTACTGGCACTTGAAAGAGCCTATAGTTGACTCTGTGGTCAAATGCACTGTCACTAAACTGTCTCCTCTTCCCTATGACAGTGTCTAACTGATCACTGGCACTGGATTTGTGGTGGTGGCTTTCATCAAATAAGTACTGGGGGGCCAGTATTTCCTTCTCTTTGCTGTTGCTGTTCTCATTTCTAATGGAATGGTTTTTACCCTCAAGCCACGAACATCTCAGTTCATAAGTGGACCTCCTGCCTGGTTTCCTAAGCTTGTATTCAGAGTATTTTTCCTCCCCATCATGTTTCCCCTCTGCATACAAGGCCTGCTGACTTGACATAATTTCTGGATCACAAGTGATGATTTCATCAGCATCGAGACATCCCTTTTCTGGGCAGCTATCATACGTGGCCACAGACTTCTTTTTCTTCTCTTCGTTTACACTAACATTATCACTGAAACATTCAGAATCACTGCTAATTTCCTCTAAGAAATCTCTCAACTTCAAATCAAAGTCTGCTGACCTCTTAGATGAGGAAACTTGGCTTTGATTTGTGGATATGGGATCCTGGACTTGGTAAGCATGAGTCTTTTCCAAAAGATGGCTCTTTTCATCAGCTGGGGACAGGCAATCACCAGCTTTACTGGCTGTGTCCTTAAAATGATGTTTAAACTTCTTTGTACATTCTTCAGCATAATCCATTTTTCTTTTCTTTTGTGATATATGCTCAGGATCCCAAGAAAGATTTGTCCAGAAATTATTTTCTTGCACTTGTTCTCTCCTATCTAGATGTTGCATTTGGCTCAAACTAGTTGAGTGATGCTTATGTTTTCTCAAATTGATTTGAAAGCTATTTCCTTTCACAAAGACAGTTCTCTTCCACTGACATGTGCTTGTTATGTGACTTGGTTCTAGGCAGATGCGGGCATATTTTGGAGCTTGATAATGGTTTAAAAGATAGTCAATAAATTCATCTGTTTCATATATCTTCTGTTTCCTGCTATGGTCTCTCTCAACGAATCTGGAAGAATAGGAGGTATTAGAACAAAGCTGGTCTTCTTTCTCAAGATATTGACCTTGAGTCATTATAATTTGCAAGGAATTCTGGTCACAGCTCGAACTGTTATTATATTTGTCAGTTAATGATTTTCCAGCTCTCTCTTTTCTTGCTGAATATCTTATTTTTTTTCCCCCAAGGTGGTGGGAAGATTTACGTAAGTGAGCTCTAGCCCTTTTCTTCATTTTTCGTTTACGCTTGTAATCTGACTTGGAAACGTGGTATCTTAGCATTTCCTCCTGATTTTGAAGATACTGAGTGTTTGGTTCTTCTTTCTTCAGAGTTCCTGACACAGTCTCCGGAGCATGATGAGCTTTGGAGCCTGCAACATTCGCCTTCCGTGGGTAAAATTCTCCAGACTCCTTCAAAGATAAAGGTTAAAAATATCACATGAAAAGCTCAACAGGTTAAAAATCTCAAAGAAAACTGGGCTATAAAGCACTGTTCTGAAGACGTTTCTAACTACACCTAGGGTAGATCCAAATTAGGAATGATAGCACACTGAAGAAACGGGAGGTACAAAATTAAATGTTTCCATCTAATAGGAGCTGCTTTGACTAGGTCTGTGCCTATCCTTGTGTTAGAAGGCACCTCGGTTTACATACCTTTAAAAGCACATAATCCTTTTTTCCTTTGTTCACAAATTGATAGGTCTACTTACTGTTCCAGGTATTGTGCTCGAGGGTGGGAACAGGAAGAGGAATAAGAAATGTTCTATAGTGCTCCCTGGGGCTACAGTCCTAGAACAAGAAAAGACTGGTGGGTGAAATATGTGTCTTAAAGGGTCAGTTGGTTTTGTAAAAGCCAAACTGCCTTTTGGGGTTTTATTCCGGCCTCTTCCTGTGGATTACAAGTGAGCATGTCTCTGACCTGCCCACCTCGGTTGGAAACAAGATAGCAAGTAGGAAATATGGTTGTGACAATGGTGCTCTCTGCTGTCCATGACTGCAGGGCAGGTGAAAGGTGTGGCCTAAGGCCCCTACCCTGCTGAGAGAGCTTGTACTGAGCTCCCACTGACACTCAGCACAAATCAGGGCTCAGAACTTACCCAGGACTTGGGATTCAAATTTGGTACCACACACATTGAAAGAGAGGAATTCTTCAAAACAAGTCACTTTGGGCAGTCATTAAGGCAAACTAAAAAAGATCCAGCTCGCCTTATTGTCAAAATAAATGTGAGGTTTTTCTGATCCTGATTTCATGCAGTTTGATGGGCCATACCAATTAGAAAAAAAAAAACAGGTGAGATGGCAAATATACCTAAAATGAATGCCATTCACTCTTGGTGTTTAAGAACGCTGAATGTGGCTTTTCAAATGAACGCTTTGGTCTTTACTCTGGGGCATCTGCTGAGTCTGGTTATCTTTAGGAGGTCAGTAAGTGGGAGAACAAAAACTTCCCCAACTGAAACTCTCCAAACAACTGGCCTGTGATGTGAGATATTCCTTAGCAAACAGTTGAAGACTAGACTAACATGTCTGTTCAAGGCCCTCCTTTCCCATCCAGTCCTGTCACTGATGAGTGGCCAGCGAAAGGTAATGAAGGATTACAAACTCCACATCCCTCCTCCTGGCGTCTTCTGTTACCTCCATTAGGAGCTTAGAAGAGTAGGTGCACAACCTACACTGCTCTAAGTTAGATCATCTCAAAGTTGAGAAACAAAGTGTGTGTATGCGCGTGCACGCCAGATAGTGGAGGTGAGACCCAACCCCTTTAGAGAATCTGAGTATCCCTTTGGTCAATGCAAAATTGTGGTTGTTAAAGACCAGGCTATTGAAAACAAACCTCAACAAATACAGTAAGTCTTCCACAGCCACTGGTTAAACAATAGGCTGCTGTTTCAAAGTAAAGGCCATGATGACTCAGAGAGGTCACTAGCTACCCAAACCAAAGAACAATGGGGCAAGAGCCTTACTACAATTTTCCTCAGGAGTGCCCGCATCAGGTAGAGGGCCTCCAGCTGCCTCTGGGTCACTGGGATCTTCCTCTTCTCCAGGTCCTTGGAAGAGTTGGACCCTGATCGAGCCTCCACTTTGGCGCTGTCCTTCTGTCTCCTTTGCCGGTGCCTGTCCCTTTCCTTCTGGGTGCGTCTCTTGACTCTGGTCTTTCTCCTCTTTTCCTGGACCTTCCTCTCCTCTTTTCTTTTTCTGGATAATGATTAAGAGAGTGAACCCTTCAGAAGGTGTTTATTGGGCAAATGGGTTATTCTCCTCCCCACTACCTCCTCCCTGGCAGGAGTTCCCCAAAATCTCCAGCTACAACACCCCAGGGCTCGACATTAGACCACTGATGACAAAAGACACTGTGACTGTCAGTCAAGGGGAGAGATGCGTAACTAAGTTGGTCAGTTAGAAACATGTACAGGAGACCTCATGCAGAGAGAGTGTATTTAAAAAATAAACGAAGAAGACTACTGAATTCAAAGGAGGGGCCTCAACAACCCCCCGGCCCCCCGCCCTCCAACTTTCTCAAACCAAAAGTAGGGACTATGGGATCTAGCTTTCGCAGAGATGATTCCATTTCTCTTGAGATCAAAACCTTCCCTGAGCTGGTCACACAGACACAAATGAAAGTAAGTCAAGGCATTCAGAAAATCTTAAAGGTGAGAACTGGTCTTTGGTGCACACTCCGTAACACAGTGAAGTGTTAGTCACTCAGTCATGTCTGACACTCTGTGACCCCATGGACTGTAGTCTGCTAGGCTCCTCTGTCCATGGCATTCTCTAGGCAAGAATACTGGAGCAGGTAATTCCTTTCTCCAGGGGATCTTCCCAACCCAGGGATTGCACCTGGGTCTCCTACATTGCAGGCAGATTCTTTACCATCTGAGCCACCCAGTACATTATCATAAAAACAGGCTGGTTTAGAAGAATCTGGGCTTATTTTTCTGCTGTTTTCTGAATATTTAAGATGTTTTGGTTAGGCTCTCATAGAAGCATGGAAACCTGGGGGGTGGGGGAAGGGCAGGGGAGGACAATTGCCTGAGAGATGACCAAGCCCCAAACTGGAGGATGAGCTCAACTGCATGATCGATCTGGAAATTTGGGAGGAAATCATTACCTTTACTGGGATCAGCTTCTGACCAAGTTTCACAGCCATGACCTTAAGTAACTCCTAGCACTCCGCCAACCAAAAAACGTTGAGAGGCACATGGAAAACTACTCTTAAACTCCTAAATTTGCATAAAAGGCTGGAAGAATAAACCTGCAAGGGGAGGAGCCAGGAAGAAGGTAAAACTGGTTTGGGGAGCCCTGTAGTTCTGGTCCAGTTGTCCCTTCTTGGCAAACCCTTGACAATTCAATGGCCCTTTCTAGTCTCAAGCTCCTAAACTGGGAAACAATGGTAAGCTCAAAGAAGTAAATACAGAGGCTCCTTAAATTCACAGAAAGAACTTGAGCCAACAAGAAAAATGGTCTCAACAGATCCTTCTGGGTTAGTTTGATTATGGATCATCTTATGAAAGAAAATCTTTTCCAAAACAGAAAAGAATTTTCCCCCAAAATTTCAATGGATAGGCAAAGTAAAATTTGGTAAATTTAGGTAAACTGGTGAAACTTGTAAGTTGGCAGGCTAGAATTTTCATGCTCAAAGTACCTGGCCTTTTTTTTTTAAATGATTATTAACTCCTAGACAACCTAATCTGGTTGGTCCTACTATTCCTCATTACTTGTTCCTCCTGAAAAGCATACTTTTAAAGTATCTTGTTTTTCACAGATTTCTCCTTTTGGTTTTGTAACAGTCTAATGGAAAGACAGCAATTTTCTAATGGGCACCAATTCCTGCTCCCCCCATCATGGTATCTATTAAGTGAACCCATTCACCTGAAGAGATAAATCCATAAATCAAAAGTTTAAAAATAGACAAAAAACAACAAAAACAACAACAACAACAACGCTCTTCGTTGAACTTGTTCTCCTCACCTTTCAGCCTCTTCCTCTTCTCTTTTCTTTGCTTTTTTCCTCTCTTCCTCCAACTCTTGTAATTTCAGTTTTTCCTGCTTTCTCTTCTTTATAGCTCCTTCGCTGAAGTGTTTTGTTGTATCAAACATAACCTGCTCTCAAACAATTCAAAGTATCATTAGAAAAGTTTGCCCGCTGGCTGGATATGCCCCAGACCAGAGAGCTAAAACTAATCTGTAGCTGGCAATGCCAAACCAAATGAATTAAAAATGCCTTTGATGCATCCCAGTACCTAGACAGTTACACTGACTCTCAGTCATCTCTCAAACTGTCCTTGTGGAGTTTCTAGAACTTTCTTTGGCAGAACCTTTGAGGAACTCACCTGACAGCCATATGCAGCATCATTGTGCCCTTATGGACACAAGTTCTAAGGTATGTGAGTATATTGCTTCTGGTTTGTTATACTGATTAACTGAGATATTAATAATGTTTTTTAAATCAGCAGAGACAAAACCAGTCCAGAAATGGGATGGGGGGAGCAAAGATGTAGGAAAATTAACCAAAAGAGATACAAGATCTGACTATAGAGATTATTAAACAACTTTGCAAATCTCAAAAGAAAGTAAAAGTCAAATTGAGGCACTACAAATAAATTTGCCTAAAAAATATAAGGATGCAGAAGTAGCTATTTAAATATGCATGAGAGACAACCACCAAATTCACCATCACAGTTACCTTTGAGGGGAGTGAGCAGCCTTGACTGAGGATGGTACACAAAAGGGAACATGTTCTCATTCCACTGGTAATGCTTTATTTTTTAAGCTGCAGTGGTATGTGGGTGGTCGTTATAGCATTTGCTAGATCTTTTGTCAGACTGAATAGCTCATAATTTTCAAACATATATTTTAACCCAAGTAGCCTCACACACAACATACACACACACACACCCCTGAAGCTACTGAGGCTGAAAGTTCAAATTCACACTAAAGACTGATTTAGAGAAAAAGGGTTTAGCTGCATTAAGGTTTCAAGAACAAGATGACCAGGCATTCAGTCATGAAGCTGTCTTCATGCTAGATAGACAGGATGACTTTGAAAGGAAAGGAGCCAGGTTTGTTAGGCTTATGTTTTAGAATTTACCTGACAGTCGTCATTAAAGTATAGTAAACTGTGACCCCAATAGCAAAGAGGGAATAAACTGCCTTTCTTGTTTCAAGCTGCATGTTGCCCTTTCCCAGCAACTTGTCAAACAGAAGAAGCATATGAGATGGTTCCATAAGGACCATGAAGAATCCTTTAATGTCCCCCAAGGAGCTGGGCAGAGCCCCGAACTATAACAACCATCACTTCAAGCCACAGCTGGCAGCATGGCTGACAGTAGGAGAATGCCCCAATCATGATGATACTTGGTCCCCAGAAAACACCCATTTATTAATGACAACATAAATCTTTACATAAGCTCTTGATCAGAGCCTCCAGGGTGGTCTAAGGAAATCTGTTCCAGAGGCTTCCTTCTAGCTTTTACTCAAGGCCACTTGAACCATGGGAAAAAAATTTTTTTATAATACCTGGCTGCTCCTTACCTTGATGTTACATGCCAGAGCTTTCCCATCATCTCCTTTAAGCATCAGCTTCATCCCGCGGAGGGACTCCATGGCCTTTAAGAAGTCAGTTGACTCTTGGTACTGTATAAATGCCTCGAACGTCTGCAAGCCAAAGCTGAACCCCCCAAAGCTCCCACTGGTTATGACCTCTCGGTAGGGGTCGAGCATCGGGATATCTACATTCTTGATCTTCCCAAAGCTTTCAAAGACCACCCGAAGGATCTCTTCACATGGCTTCTCTCCACTGGAACCTTTGGGAGCAAACCACTTGCAGGGCAGGCCTTCGAAGTATATGGAATTTGAGCTCTTATCATGCTCCTGCTCTTCAGACCCATCACCCATCGGGGTGGCCCCATTTTCCTTGGGGAAGTGCTCCCACTCTCCCTGGGTGTCTGTCACCATGACTTTTAAGTCTGTTTCCAAGCCATTTAGCTTGATGATCTTCCCGTGCAACTTGGCCTTCAGGATTTGAACCAAGCTTCGCGTTTCCGCCTCCCCCTCAAATCGGATGAAGCCCCTGGTGCTTTTGGCGAGCCGCACAGTGGTGAACTGGTTAGGACAAATCAGGCTCTTCAGTTGGTCCAGAACTTCCCAGTTAGAGACAGGTCTCGAGGGTTCCGGGCTCTCAGGGAGCAACACATTGATCATCAGCTTTGCTATGGGCTTGAGGTACAGGTGCTGAGCTGCACACAGTTCTGTGGCCTCTGAGTTATCATACACCACCGTGACCGTCATGGTATCCACAGGAAACGAGACGGTGAAAAGGAACTGTTAGGGTACCAAGGGAGGGAAACACAGGTTCAGCTTTTGAATGGTGCTAGCATTTGTCGGATTTAGGTCAAACTGATAGGGAAATATACACTACCAGGAGAATTAAGGTGTGAGCTAACATTTGTTTAATGTGTTTTAGAGGTTTCAGAGAGTTTCTATAGACTGTGTCTCAGTTCCCTTAACTGTAAAATAGAAACAATAAGATTTTAGGAAGGAGTAAATGGGCGGAGTCCTTAGAAGAGTGCCCCGCACACAACAAGTTCTCAAATCACTATAAGCTGTGGCTATTGTTTATCCTACTTTATCTCATTTGGTTCCTGAAGCAACCTGTGAGTAAGTATTTTCAAGCCTGTTTTGTAGATAGAGACATTCAGTGGATTCAGGAAAATTAAATGGCTTGCCCATACAGGAGGTCTTACAAATAGCTGAGAAAAGAAGAGAAGGAAAAGGCAAAGGAGAATGGGAAAGATGTGCAGAGTTCCAACTAAATCCAGAGTTCCAGAAAATAGTAAGCAGAGATAAGAAAGGCTTCTTAAGTGAATGCAAAGAAATATAGGAAAACAATAGAATGGGAAAGACTAGAGATCTCTTCAAGAAAATTAGAGATACTAAGGGAACATTTCATACAAGAGAGGCAAGATAAAGGACAGAAAGAGCAAGGATGTAACAGAAGCAGAAGAGATTAAGAAGAGGTGGCAAGAATACACAGAAGAACTGTACAAAAAAGTTCCTAATGACCCAGTTAACCACAATGGTGTGGTCACTCACCTAGAGTCAGACAGTCTGGAGTGTGAAGTCAAGAGGGTCTTAGGAAGCATTACTATGAACAAAGCTAGGGGAGGTGATGGAATTCCAACTGAGTTATTTAATATCCTAAAAGATTATGCTGTGAAAGTGCTGCACTCAATATGCCATCAAATTTGGAAAATTCAGCAGTCACCACAGGATTGGAAAAGGTCAGTTTTCATTCCAATCACAAAGAAAGGCAATGCCAAAGAATGTCCAAACTAGTTTACAGTTGTGCTCATTTCACATGCTAGCAAGATTAATGCCCAAAATTCTTCAAGCTAGGCTTTAACAGTATGTGAACTAAGAACTTCCAGATATACAAGCTGGATTTAGAAAAGGCAGAGGAACCAGAGATCAAATTGCCAACATCTGTTGGATCACAGAAAAAGCAAGGTAATTCCAAAAAAAACCAAAAACAAACAAACTACTCTGGCTTCATTGACTACACTAAAGCCTTTGACTATGTGGATCACAACAAACCACGGAAAATTGTTAAAGAGATGGGAATACCAGACCACCATACCTGTCTCCTGAGAAGACTGTATGCAGGACAGAAGCAACATTTACAACTGGACATGGATCAATGGAGTGGTTCAAAATTGGAAAAGTGTCACCCTGTTTATTCAACTTATATGCAGAGCACATCATGGGAAATGCCATGCTGGATGACTCACAAGCTGGAATCAAGATTGCTAGGAGAAATATCAACAATCTCAGATATGCAGATGATATCATTCTAATGGCAGAAAGCAAAAAATAACTAAAAAGCCTCTTGGTGAGGGTGAAAGAGGAGAGTGAAAAAGTGGCTTAAAACTCAACATTCAAAAAACTAAGATCATGGCATCTGGTTCCATCACTTCATGGCAAATAGATGGGGAAAAAGTGGAAACAGTGGCAGATTTCATTTTCTTGGGCTCCAAAATCACTGCGGTCAGTGACTGCAACCATGAAATTAAATGACGCTTGCTCCTTGGAAGAAAAGCTATGACCAACCTAGACAGAATATTAAAAAGCAGAGACATCACTTTGCCAACAAAGGTCCATCTTGTCAAAGCTATGATTTTTCCAGTACTCACATATGGATGTGAGAGTTGGACCATAAAGAAGGCTGAGCACCAAAGAATTGATGCTTTCGAACTGTGGTGCTGGAGAAAACTCTTTGAGAGTCCCTCGGACTGCAAGGAGATCAAACCAGTCAATCCTACTGAAATCCTAGGAAATCGACCCTGAATATTCATTGGAAGGACTGATGCTGAAGCTCCAATACTTTGGCCACCTGATGCAAAGAGCCAACTCACTAGAAAAGACCTTGATGCTGGGAAAGATTGAGGGCAGGAGAAGGAGGCAACAGAGGATGAGATGATTGGGTGGCATCACTGACTCAATGGAAATGAGTTTGAACAAATTCTGGGAGATAGTGAAGGACAGGAAAGCCTGGCGTGCTGCAGTTCATGGGGTCACAGAGAGTTGGATGTGACTTAGCAACTGAACAACAATACATTAACACTCCAAGATTTCAAATCTCTAGTCTGTTGTATAATTGAGCTGAAATATAAAGTCGCAGAAAAACCTGCTGGGGATGGCACAGAAACAGGGCCACCAGAAAATACATGTAGCACATTCATGGACATGCACCCAGCTGACACTTCTAACCCAGGCAACTGATATAACATCCTTCGTCCAGGTTGGTTTCTAAGTCTTACGCAGACATAATCTATTCTCATTTCTCCAGGCTGTTGACCTTCACTAAGTTGAACTTTTAGATCAAGGGAAGAGAAAACAGCCTCTTCTAGTGAATGACAAAGAGAATCTACCCTCTACTTTAGGAATAGAAAAATGTCCAAACACGAGTGCTTGCTGGCATTTCATGTGAACAAGCTCTCTTAGGCTGTCCCAACATAAGATCACTGATACTGGCAATGAGGGATTTCTGCTCCTCTTTGCTGACTTCAAATAGCACTTCTCAATAAAGGAATTTTCTTTTCTAAAAGTGCATGTATTCAGAGTCTGTATCACCTGAGTTTCTCATTAATGTTAACTTCAAGGAGATTTAAATCCAAACATGTATGGCCAGATGATGGAAACTCTCAGGCAAGATTTACTGCTAAATCTTGGTTAACTTTACAGGCACAGAATTCTTTTATCACTGTTCCTGAAAGACCACGCAAGTCAACTCCCTTTAGGGGACAAAGTTTGTATACACTGGTTTTTTAAAAGCCATTAAATGCAGTGTCTGAGCTTCCCAGATGGCACTAGTGGTAAAGAACCCACCTGCCAATGCAGGAGACATAAGAGACGCAGGTTCAATCCTTGGGTCAGGAAGATCCCCTGGAGGAGGATGGCATGGCAACCCACTCCAGTATTCTTGCCTGGAGAATCTCATGGACAGAAGAGCCTGGCAGACTACAGTCCATGGGGTTGCAAAGAGTCAGACACAACTGAGCAACTAACACTTTACTAAAGGTAATATCTAAAACATTAGGTTCTACAAATCCTTATGACAGCAATACTGAACTGGGATGATATGAGAATAAACATGTGCTCCTTCTCCAAAAACATTATCTAGAGAGTGAAATGAAGACAAAATCCAGGCAGTTTGCTGCAATTTGCAACCCAAATAAGTCAACACTAAACTCCTTTAGGAGAAAAAGTAAGTTGATATTCAATTAAGATACACTAAACCCCCAAATTTATCTGTAGTCAATAGGTATATTTTTAAAGCAAATGTTCCAGAAAAAATATACACAAAATAGTTAATCACTTCAAGCTAACCAGGTTGTCAGGGTCTCCAGTACTCCAAGGATACTGCCGTTGTTTTAAACATTTTAGAATGCTTTCCTTGATTTCAAAGTCTGGGCTACATTCTTTTAAATAGTCTTGATGGAGGTCAATTTTGAAATTGTTTTATTGTGGATTTGATATTTCAAAATCATCAAAAATAAACTAGATTCAAGAATGCTGTATAAAATGGATGGCTAGAAAGAACAAAGTGATTTTCTTAATTGGCTTAAATTCTGAGAAAGGCTCTTTTTTTTAATAACTGGGTACATCACTGGAACAGGTATAGAGCTTTGAAAGATGGGAGTTTGAAGGACAATATTGACTACTGCAGTCTAACAGCTGCAAAAATGATGCTGATTTTCCACCCCTCCCTGTATCCACACGCTTTGTAACATGACTTAGAGATGGAGGTTGGTGACATTGTACAGGAGGCAGTGATCAAGATCATCTCCAAGAAAAAGAATGCAAAAAGGAATAATGGTTGTCTGAGGAGGCCTTACAAACAGCTATGAAGAGAAGAGAATTGAAAGGCAAAGAAGAAAAGAAATGATATACACATTTGAAAGCAGAGTTCCAAAGAATAGCAAGGAGAGATAAGAAAGACTTCCTCAGTGATCAGTGCAAAGAAACAGAGGAAAACAATAGAATGGAAAAGGCTAGAGATCTCTTCAAGAAAATGAGAGATACCAAGGGAACTTTTCATGCAAAGATGGGAACAATAAAGAACAAAAATGGTATGGACCTAACAGAAGCAGAAGATATTAAGCAGAGGTGGCAACAATACACAGAAGAACTATACAAAAAAGATCTTCATGACCCAGGTAATCATGATGGTGTGATCACTCACCTAGAGCCAGACATCCTGGAATGTGAAGTCAAGTGGGCCTTAGGAAGCATCACTACGAACAAAGCTAGTGAAGGTGATGGAATTCCAGTTGAACTATTTCAAATCCAAAAAGATGATGCTCAGCAAATTTGGAAAACTCAGCAGTGGCCACAGGACTGGAAAAGGTCAGTTTTCATTCCAATCCCAAAGAAAGGTAATGCCAAAGAATGTGCAAACTACTGCACAATTGCACTCATCTCACGCACTAGCAAAGTAATGCTCAAAATTTTCCAAGCCAGGCTTCAACAGTACGTGAACTTTCAGATGTTCAAGCTGGATTTAGAAAAGGCAGAGGAACCAGAGATCAAATTGCCAACATCTGTTAGATCTAGAAAAATAAGANTTGGAGAAGACTCTTGAGAGTCCCTTGGACTGCAAGGAGATCCAACCAGTCCATCCTAAAGGAGATCAGTCCTGGGTGTTCATTGGAAGGACTGATGCCGAAGCTGAAACTCCAATACTTTGGCCACCTAATGCAAATTCAGCTGACTCATTGGAAAAGACCCTGATGCTGGGAAAGACTGAAGGCGGGAGGAAAAGG